CATGGACACAGAACTTGGCTGGAGATTGTGGCTAGAGATCCTGGCAAGGCTGCTGATCAACTGAATGCTGTCTCTGTGTCATTCCTTCTTCGTCGACTCCGTCCACACCTTTGGGGACCCCTGGACCTGCTGGGGCTGGACCCCAGCAGATGATTAAAAAAGGAAGAGTTATATCTACATATCTATCTGTATCTATATCTATAGATGTATCTATATTTATATATGTGTCTATATCTATATACATATCTATATCTATATAGGTATCTATATTTATATATGCATCTATATCTATATCTATATCTACTAGAGGCCTGGTGCACAAAATTCAGGCACTGGGAGAGGAGGTTTGTCCCTCAGCCCAGCTTGCACCCTCTCCAATTTGGGGAACCCTCAGGGGATTTCCGATTGCTGGATTAGGCCCGATCCCACAGGGATGTCCTGCAGTCAGACATTCCTCTCACATTCTGGGACTGCTGGCTCCTTACCACTCACCTGCCTGATCACCCCTTAACCGTTCCCCTGCCAACCTGATTGATTCCTACTGCTCCCCTGCTGGCCTGATAGCCCCCAACTACCCTCCCCTGCCAGCCATCTTGTGGTGGCCATCTTGTGGCAGTCATCTGTGGTGGCCTTTTTATGACTAAATGGGGCGGCCATCTTGTGATGACATGATGGTGGCCTTATTGTGATGATGTGAGGGCATCACACAAGGGCACAAGGGCCACTTAGGCTTTTATTATTATAGATATCTATATCTATATCTATATCTATATCTATATCATCTATATCTATGTCTATATATCTATCTATATCTATATATCTATCTACATCATATCTATCTATCTATATATCTATCTATATCTATATCTATATCTATATCTATATCTATATCTATATTTATCTATCCCAGCAGAGGCACATTTATTTTCTCCCTATGGAGACAATAAAGCAGTCAAATATCCTATCTAATAAAAGAGAAACATGGTAATTAGCGTACGACCACTACCCTTCCCATTGGCTAATCAGGGCAATATGCAAATTAACTGCAAGCCAAGATGGCGGCCAGCAGCCAGGCAGCTTGAAACTAACATGAGGCTTGCTTGCTTCAGTGATGGAAGACTCCAACGTCCCCTGCCT